TTGCATGTATATCAGTAGGAATTATTTTCATTTTGTGTTTAAATTTGATTATATTTCATGAAGTTGACAGGAACTATGACAGTCGGTAAGTACAAGTTTTGGTATAGATTAGGGTAAAATAGTCTGAAATGCAAATGTTTAGGTTAAAGTTTAAAAGATCAACTGTCATTGGATGCTATAATAGACGAATTTCACATGCTGAAGAGTTATCCCCTGTTGTTGACGTTACATTCAGTTACAATATCCTGATAATTTTTTTTTCCGGGAAGGAGGGGGGATATCCAGAATTTCCTGAGAAGCAAAAAAAATATGGTGGGGTTTGTTTTCTAAGGAGGTGGGCATTCAAAATCTTTTTTATTTGTTTCATTATAATAGTTCTATCAAATAACTTCAAATTCAAGGGGGGGGGGGGGGGGGTTCCCAATCCACTCCTTGTCCCTGTAATGACAAATGATAATGTGACTCCTAAAAAAGGAGAAAACTTTTCCATTTGATTATACATAATTTGGTTTCTTGTGTTATTGTGTTATGTACATTTCATGGTATAAAGGTTATGAATCCCTGGAGGTCATCCCCACTCTCCTGATGAACTGGAAATGTTCACAATATGACTGCATTAAATGAAATAAAAGTACATCAATGATAAGATAAATGCTTGACATTTTATTCATGAATTTGTCAGCCTACCCTCCTAGAATTAGGAATGAAAATCATTCAAGGAGATTTACCACATTAAACTATTTGTAAATATTTTTTATACATAAATGAACAATCAGGCCTGGGTCTGGGAAGGGGCGAGGGGAAGGATCGAGTTAATATCTTTTCTCGTCTGAATGGTTGAAAACTTCTAAAATGAATGTTGACCTCTAATCTGATTGTCCTCATTATTTTTAAGTGATGATGTCTGCATATCAGTGACAAAATCCTCCTAGGGATGTTAAACAACAAACAAACAAATGACAAAAAACACTATATTGATTTGCATTAAGAAATATGCAGGAGATTTTTTCCATCATAAATTTTCTTCTCATAAACAGCAAGGGCATTATTGTCCCCCGTTTTTGGGAAAGGGACTCATTTGCCTGTCGGTCTGTCCATCTTATTGACAGTATGTGCATCTGTCACAATGAATTTAACCTTTGTCATAAATTTTGAAATATAAGAGATAGGGCTTTCATATTTCACATGTACATTACCACAAAACTTTCTAAATATACAATGATTTTTTAACCCATGACGTTGACCTTAAAGTTTTACCTACTTTCCAAACATAACATTATTTTAAATTGATAATTTTGAAAGAGAAAAGATAGAGCATTCAAATTATACATGTATATTATATGTGAAAACACTTTTTGAAACATATTATGACTTTCGACTCTGTGACCTTGACCTAGAAGTTAAGCTTACTTTTCAAAAATATTATATATTTCTTATAACTGTTGATTGAAAAGAGGACTTTCATGTTTGAATTTTTGCTTAAAAACATCATTTTCGACCCCATTTGACCCCCCGGGGCAAAATCAAGATTCTGAACCCTTACTGCGCATCTACATGACACCAACAATTAACTCCTAAAAGATGATCGGGCTACTGAGTAAAATGTAGGAGGAGTTCAGGGAAGACGGGCTTTTTGTATACAAAATTTCATTTTTCGACCCCCATTTGACCCCCAAAATCAAAATTCCAAAACCTTATTGCACATCTACATGACACCACCAGCAATCTCCAAAAAGATGATTAGGCTACTATATAAATGTAGGAGGAGTTCAGGGAAGACTGGGCTTTTTGCATAAAAAAAACCCATAATTTTTAGACCTCATTCGACCCCCGGGGCAAAATCAAAATTCCAAAACCTTACTGCACATCTACATGTTACCACCCACCATCTCCCAAAAGATGACCAGATACTGTGTAAAATGTAGGAGAAGATCAGGGAAGAAAAGTGTGAGAGACGGACGGACATACATACGGACGGACGGACATGAGTAACAACAATATACCCGAACTTTCTTTAAAAAATGTGGGTATAATAACAAATTCAGGGTAAATATACCACAGACTCGTTAACAATCATCATTTCGGAAATTACATGGTTGATGCTCTAACCTTGTTAAAATGTATGATTTATTCGAATACTGATATACTTTTTCATAGTAATTGTTAGACTTTAATTTGAAAACTAAAATTTCTACGGATTTTCTTTTGTATTCCAACCATGGCAATACGTGCACAGTGGACATGGCCGGTAGACAGGGGATACTCACTTCTCAATGGCTCCTAATCTGACCTCTGATGTTTTAGAGATCTGTGTTTGCACAGATTCAGATTTTTATTGTAAAAATCATTTTATATGAAATTTTTGTGATAAGAATTCATCAAATTATAAAATAAGAGCTTCTCTCAACCGGTGTAGATAATTTCAAAGCTGATCTATAAGTTTATTGAGCAGTTATGTACACTGTAAATCTAAAACAAGGGAAAAGTTTTAGATTTACAGACAATATTTAACTAACAGATTGATATGATTGTTTACTAAGACAACGAATCTTATAACATTGCCAATATTTCTTTGTGGTGTACGATTACGCAATATTTAGGTATTGTAGGTATCTCCTTACGCGTAAATGTCAGTTACACTTATGTGGGGCTCCATGATAATATAGTTAAAATGCATTAATTCTTTGAAAATCATTTTCTTTGCCTCTGGGTGATAAGCCGATGTACCATGTACTTATTTATGAAGAGGAATAGTGCTTCTTTCAAAGGGATGTTTAGATGGGAGTCTATTAATAATACAAATACAGTGTAAATCTGTTTGCTGATGATATATTAAGTACATAATTATGATGAACAAGGATGCTTCTATCATCAGGTCTCATTGTCTCATTGACCCTCTGATATATATTTTATAACAAATTTAATTTAATAATATTTTGAATTATTTATATTTTTTTCATTGGATTTTTTTTAGAAATTCTGGAATCTTAAAGGGCTTTCCTTATATAATCTTTTTTTTTTATTTTTGTTTTGATGTCCACTTGACTCAATCTATGCTATGTCATTGGATCAGGATCCTTTTGTCCAAATTACTCTTTTAAGTTTGTTTTAATCGAGAATAAAATTTGTTTACCTATGTTGTTTTAATAATTATCCCTCTGGTGAGCTTTACCTTGATCAGGCCGATTTTTGTTTTAAGTACCCAGATGTCACTTTTTGCTGGAAACTCATCAATAAACGACTTTAACTTTATTCAGAGCCTTGGTCGTCTTTTTTAGGTGGGAAAGTATTTTGTATATTCTTATATGTATATATTTGTTTCATTTTTCCCAATTCTTGTTTGATTTTTTGATGTTCTATGCATTTATTTTGTGTTCATCAATTCTGACAATTTATATGACAAAATTGTGCATGAAATTACTTTTATATTTGATCAATGGGCACTGTCTTAATCATTTACTAAATAGGACATTTGTGTTAATTCATTTATTAAGCTTGACTTTCATTCAAATCAATTTATTGATTTCTATATCAAGATTATTTGGTTCATTCTATTTTACATCTTTTTTATTTTAAATTTGCTAACTTTGCGACTTTAACTTTCGGGAGAAAAATATTTGTCGGTTGTTTGGCTTTAAATGTACAAGGTATTAGTCCAGAACTTATTAAATGTTACAGTAATACTTTTAAGCATTTCAAATAATTCATATTGTTACTTTTCATTTCACAATTATTTTTATGCATTTTGATTAAGAGAAATATCATTATTTCACTTTTTATATAATAACCTATCTTGCATTCCGAACAATTATCAGTTTAGAGTCTAAACTAATTGTTTAAATTTCCGCAAAAGTTGAAAATGTACACAAAAGAGTGTTTTATTGAGAATATGTATATTATCATTTTTTTCGAAATTTATTCATTTGGTGATTGTTATAAAATCTAAAGGATGCTACATCAACAGATTTTCTTGGAAAAATCACAATATCTGTTTCTTTTCCATGTTAACACACAATGTCCAGTCCACACAATATTTTCCTAAAATACCTTAACAGTTTTGTAGATCAAGTTCTGATTCAAGGACAAGATCACCAGCAAAGACATATGATTAATTGACATTTCATCTAGATAAACAGGATATGTACTTACGTTTTTCAAATAATTTACAAAATCATAAACAAAAATATTGAAAAGTGTTGGATTTAAATTTGCTTGACTTGCTTGACTCCTCTATTGGCTTTAATTTTTTTTAACTCGTTTGGTTGTCCTTTAAACAAGAATACAGCAGTATGTGCTTGAATACATGTCTGTCAAAAGTTTGGGTTTACTACCAATACCCTTTTTATTCAACTTGTATAGAAGTGCGGATCTCCAAACAGTATCAAATGATTTTGAAAAATGAACATAACACACATATACATTCTGCTTCTTTGCATAAAGATATCAGCTTATAAGTGTTTTAATACAAAAACAAATATATTGTCTGTGGCCCTATGACCTTTTCTAAATCCAGATTGACTGGCTAAGTAGGTTATTTGACTCAAGATAATTATCTAAGCGTTTCTGTAGAAGGTATGTAAAAAGTTTTCCTAAACAACTTGTAACACTTAGACCTCTATAATTATCTGTATTATTAGGATCACCATTTTTGTATAATGATGTAATAAGTGATAGGTTCCATTTGTCGGACATTTTTCCATTTTAAATTAAATATTAAAATAAATAAAGACAAGCATTGTATGTTATTTCCATAAAGATCACATAAATTTGTTGACAAATTAAATTACAATGGAAACAAACAATAAGATTTAGTCAATCGAAGTAGTGCATGTTTGAAGATCCTTTTGAAAACAAACACAATAACTTTAAGATATATATGTAAAGTCAATTTCACTTTCTTTCTTCTACTTTTTTGGACGGGAAAATGTCATTAATGCACTTATTTATGCACAGTTTTAAGCCTAGATCAAAAGCATTGAAATGATCGGTATTCTTTATCATGTTAAGAATCATTTCTGGATTTTTTCTTAAGAAATATATAACAACGCTGACAAAAACACCCACCACAGCATACGGAACAACTTCACGTAAAAGTCTGGAAACTTCTTCTTTCCAGGTTTTCTGTAAGAGAAAGATATTTATTTTCTTACTGAATTTTTTAACTTCCTTAAAAAAAATTGAGCCCTTTGTTTCTTATTCATTGCATTTGTCACCAAAATATTATTTTCTACAGAATCATTGATTTAATATCATTTCCATGAAACTTTTTAGATGAGAGAGATGCTACTTATTTTAAAGAGATTATTTATGATTTAAAAAAGAAGATTCTATGCCCTTCACCCCAAAATATGATAAGTTTAAAGTAAATATTAAAATGCAAATATCCTCAGTAACAATAGATACAAGCTTTCTTAAAATAAAAAAAAATGAGATACGAGTTTGAAGTTTAACGTGACGCAATATTAGGAATACTGTTTTACTTAATGCAATAATGAAGATAAAGTTAAAATACATATAAATGATTAAAATTCGGAGCAGAGCGAACATGGGTCTTAAAAGGTGTCATAGAGGAGTAAGCACCCTCTGTCGACGGGTCACATAGGGACACACAATTACATACCATAAAGTCGTTAGACAAGTTAATGTTTAAATGATAGATGATTTTTGCTTTTCACGACATTACATGAGCTATATTCACGGGATAAAGGGGTAAACATAGGATAAAGATTGGTACATATGTTATTTTTTTCTCATTAAAATCGTAACATTAAGCATTTCCAATAATCTTTACAAAGAAAAGTGTAAAGAAATTAGAGGCTCTCACCGGTAAAATTGTTCCGATGTCAAAGTTTCCTTTGTCGTTTAACACAGCTCGAAATCGAACATTAGATACAATATCTACTTCTTCGATTCCATACCATATTTCAATGCGAATCTCTTGTAGAATGATATCGACAATTATGTTTTTATAATCCAGGCTACGCAAGACTTCCAACAATTTTTCGCCGATCTTCTGAAATTTCCCATATAATACGTGCTCAGACAAAATCGATTTATTGCGGAAAAAAAGCCTTTGTAAATCTACATCACATTTTGCGGTCCCTATCTGTATAAATCAAAATAATAAAGACTGAAATTAATTTTTGCTGTGTCAAATATTCACTTTACTTGTGTTTTGACTATTATGTGCTTGATTCTTGATGATAAATCGAAAAGTGAATTTACTAACCAGTGGTTGTTTTAATTCAAAGACATTCCCTTCTCTCTAAAATTTAGAATATAGAAACAAATTGTTTAATTCTGAAGGCAAAGTTACCAAGAAATAATATAAAACAAAAAGAGTGAGTGTGTGTATGTGTTCTGCACTCAAATGGGCCTTTCAAATATGTATATTGCAGGACAATTTTCATATTTAGATTTTAATTAGTAAACATCCAGTCAGACAAGATATGTTTTATTCATACACACACGCACATCAACTCCTTGGGTGACAATATGATAGTGAAGAAAAAACATGAGAGAGAAAGAAGAGGGGGAAAGAGAGAGAGAGATCGAAAGAGTGAACGGAATTTATAACTTACGTGGAGTATGTATTTCTCCCATTCCTGTAAAAGGAAAATGGTAATAATTATTCAACAATAAAAATACGGTATCTGTCGAAGAGGAAATCATGATTTTTTTTTTCAGAAGTACATATCAAGGAAAGAAGATAAATCAAAGACAAGTGTGCAATTTACTGCTTCAATACTTGTTTATTCTAAGATTGATTATATAATCATTTATTTCATTATGCATCATATCTTTCTCGTATTAACAATGATTTGGCTTTTTTTTTATTTTTTGTCAATGAAACCTCCCTTTAAATAAATATATTTTTTATTCATATTGACAAACCACAATCTTCTGGTGTATAACAATATTCAAAACAGTCTATAACAACGTTAAACTAGCTATCAGTTGCAAAATCGGTTAAAAATTCAGTTATATAAAATTGTAATTACATTTTTCAACCTGTAATTTCTTAGTTTTGTTTGATTTAATTAATCAAATGGAAAACGTTGCTTTAAAACAGTAAATACGTATCATTTTACTATGATGCACGAAATATTGCGCAATGAAAACTTAAGTCGGTCCCCTTAATAGCAAAAAAAAAAATTCAATACCTCACTGCCAGGACTGCTGTTGTGCGGCATTTTATGGTATATTAAAAGACAAAGATACCAGAGAGTAATTTCTGGATGATCTGAGAAAAAAAATTACTTATAATAAAAAGAACTATTCTTATCATTGCAAGTAATAACATTGAGATGAAAAGTTTGAAAAGAAATATGGAGATAGCAAAAGGAACACCTAATCCAGCTCAAATGTCCATGTCCATTTATCAATGGCTTTCGAGGTTCTTATTTTAGGCCAATTTTACAGTTTTTATTTTTTTGAAAGTAATAGAGCGATTACTTCTTCCCAACTCAATTTCTTTAAAGGAAAAAAACATTAAAAAATCAACTAAAGAATTAAAACATTAATTATAATTGCAGAAAATGTACTGTTAAAATTAAAACGATGTGTGTATTTTTGCTCAAAAAATATTATTTACCTGTAGGTCTTACCTAATTAATCATCAAGGCAAATGTTTAAAATATTTCCGTATTCCATATTGTATGCGTATTTAAAGGTAATAAAAGGAATTCCCCTTGACTATTCCTCGTGATATTGCTATTGTTAGCCCATTGTTAATTAATTGATTGACGAATTTAAAGTGTATTGATACTACCTACTCAAAATATACAACTCTTTGTTCAGATCCGTCATCTTTGTAATGTGAATGTCATGAATCTAATTTTAGATTATCGAGAACAATTGGAATTTTAGACCTTCAAACCACGTGCATTTTATGGGAAATAATGTCTTGAGTTTAGTTTTATAACATATTCTTAAAGAGGAAACCGTAGTTATCAATGGCAAAGTAAGTATACTTTGACTTAATGAAATGATAAATTTCAACTGTGTATGTCTTTTCATACGTGAGGTTTTCCTCTCTAAGTCAATAAATATGTATTTAAATAATAACAAAATCATTAATGGTGCTAATACTATTAATGCTTACTTAAAAAGAAGTTAGTAATAGCTAGAACATGATACTGAATTTCTTTTTTAATATTGATCAAAAATTATATCGAATAGATAGGTTAAGATGAAAAAAAAATCTTCAACTTTATGTCGAATGTAAAATGCCACCTTTCATACAAATTGCTGCTCATTATACCTTCACATGGAATTGATCTCTGTTAATACTTTAAGATTCTTCTGTTTACCAAATCATCTCAATCTTACGGAAACAAGGTTTATGTTACTGCTGACAAATAATGATTTCTCCTCTACTGCACATAATAAAGTTTTTTTTTTTTTTAGATTTGTATTTTTCTGATCCTAATTTCATTTGTTTTGAATTTTTGTGAGATTTTTTTTAAAAAATGTGTCGTGCAATAAATAAATATATTTGCTAAATACAATTTATAAATGACTAGGGTATATTTAAATAGGATTCTTCTCTGTTTTCTAATAGATGAAAAATTCAATGTATATTTGCTTAAATGTCTTATATATTGAGGTAAAAAAGATGTAAAAAAACATAATTTTTTTCTTTTCTCCTCACAATTGTACAACTTTAAATAGAAATGCTAAACTGTGTTCGAAAATAGCAGAGACTTTATTTTTGGCAGAATGGTGGCGTATGAAAATATCTTTTCTGCCTCTCATGATAATTACAGAACAATGAATTTAGCAATAATTTTTACACAATGAAAGACTTTTCAAATGTTAGCTAAATTCATAATAAGGGACTGAAGTTTTAAAATATATCAAATAAATACAATTTTCCAAACAAACTAGAATAATGTTAGCTTTTAAACGCTTCCAAAATTCCATAAAAGTGTTTTTACTCTCCTAGTAAACGGTAAAAAAAATTTTGTTTTTGTATCATTTTGTGTCTCTATATGACTTCTTTAACATGTGTAAAAATAAGACAAATATAGATATAGGATCCATAAAGAAATAGCTTGAATATCCTAAAAATTTGAGAAAAACAGATAAAATTCGGATAAGCCAAAATTCATTTTTGTTAATCCATTTGTGTCAAATTGGTAATATCATCGCATAGACCATATTTATACATGTAGTTATATCTTTCTATGCAAAAATAAAAGAATTTATTCTCTTGAAATAGAACACCCTATCACATGATTAGATGCAGTCATTTTTATTCTTTATGTCCTTGAAAAAGGCATCGACCTTGACCTGACCTTGACTCTAATATAAAAAGGTCATATCTAATCTAAATACTGTAATGCTATCACATAGTAACATTGTCTTCTTGATTCTGTAAAAAATTCATTAATTTTTAAACATAAGAAATAACAGCAATTATGATTATAATTGAATATATGTATTAAATGCGTAGTTTATGTATTAAATACGTTGTATTTACACGTGTGTGATGGTTTATATAATAGTTATTGCAGGCTGGGATTTTACGCTGGTGGTATGCGAAATTCCAGCCAATGATTAGCGGGCTAGGATCACGTGGACAACTTACATCTATAGCAGTCCAGTGTTGAAATACTGCCCATGGAATACAATGAGACATATATAAGTCGAGGTGAATTGTTACCCCCTTTTTTATTATTTGCAAGTGTCAGCTGGGAAGGGCAGTGATTAACTGCTGTCTTTCTATTAGAAATAGATAGCGTTGCAAATGTTTTCATTATATACTAGAGATTGATGGAATGTTTTTGTTTGTTTGTTTGTTTGTTTGTTTGTTTTTTCCCTTTTTCTTTTGCATATTGTTCAATATCTTTATCTTGGCAGGCCAGTGCTTAACTGCTGTCATACAGAATTGCTTAAGAAGTTTTTCTTTTTGTGTGTGTGCATGCTCAACTTGGATGGCACGGATGCGAATAGCGAGCATATCACATCTTGTGGCCCCTTTTGTTTTGATGTGCCATCTTTTTGCCATATTTTTCTTAAAATGTTTGATCTGATTGTTTTATAGTAATTTTTTCTAGTCATTTTTGGGGAGATCAG